AAAAAAAAAAAAAAAAAAAAAGATGGAAGGGAACAAGATAGAAATTGTTCCTATTCTTTCATAAAGCTAACAATCTGGAGGAAGAGGGAGTGGAGCGAGGAGAGGCAATGAAAACGTTTAACATATGAAATAATATTGGGTGGCCAAATATTTTATGAAAAGAAACAAGAGGATAGGAAGATCAGATGGTGTTACATTAGATAGGGTAGCCAGGAGAAACCTCTCTGATAGGGAGGATTTATTTATTTACCTCTTTATGTCTTGACGGTTTTTATTTATTTTTATTTTTAAATTTTTCCATAAGTTATTGGGGTACAGGTGGAATTTGGTTACACGAGTGAGTTCTTTAGTGGTGATTTGTGAGATTTTGGTGCACCCATCACCTGAGCAGTATACACTGCGCCATATTTATAGTCTTTTTATCTCGCCCCTCTTTCACCCTTTCCCCCAGGTCCCCAGAGTTCCTTCTATCATTCTTATGGCTTTCTGTCCTCATAGCTTAGCTCCCACATGTCAGTGAGAACATACGATGTTTGGTTTTCCATTCCTGGGTTACTTCACTTAGGATAATAGTCTCCAATCTCATCCAGGTCACTGCAAATGCTGTCAACTCAATATTTTTTATGGCTGTGTAGTATTCCATCCTATATGCACACCACAGTTTCTTTATCCTTTTGTCGATTGATGGACATTTGGGTTTCTTCCAGGATTTTGTAATTGTGGATTGTGCTGCTATAAACATGCATGTGCAAGTGTCTTCTTCAAACAATGACTTACTTTCCTTTGGGTAGATAGTCGGTAGTGGGATTGCTGGATCAAATGGTAGTTCTATGTTTAGTTCTTTAAGGCATCTCCACCCTGTTTTCCATAGTGGCTGTACTAGTTTACATTCTCACCAACAGTGTAGAAGTGTTCCTGATATGGGGATTTAAATGGAGAACAGAATGAAGTGAGGCATGTGATGTTAGGAGTTGTGATGATTGATTGATGATGATGACAAGGATGAAGACTCGAGGAGGATTGTGTCAGGATGCAAAGAGAAAGAGATGAGAGAATTGTAAGAAGGAGAAAAAGATCAACAATTGGAATGCAATAAAGATGTCAACATAAGATAAGGATAGGAAAGTGTTTATTGGATTGATTGATTTGACAATTAAGGAGGTTGGTGACCCTAAAGAGAGCAGTAGTAGTGACTTGCTTGGAAGGAAAATCAGCTGCAGAAGATTAAGAGCATAATAGAATATGGATGCAGGGGAGATGTCTTAGAAAAGTTTAGCAATGGGCCTGGTACGGTGACTCACGCCTCTAACCCCAGCATTTTGGGAGGCCGAGGTGGGTACATGGCTTGAGCTCAGGAGTTTGAGACTAGCCTGAGCAAAAATATGAAACTCCATCTCTACCAAAAAAAAAAAAAAAAAAAGCAAAAATAGAAAAGTTTAGCAATGAAGTAAAGGATGCATAGGGAGTAACTAGATGCAAAAATTATATTAAGCTAGTTTAAAAAAATTGTTTTCCCCTCTAGACAAGGGCTTCACTGCTTTGAAACTACTGGTATTTTGAGCTGGATGATTCTTTGTTGTGGGGACAGGTAACCGGGCTATTCTGTGCCTTGTAGGAAATTCTGCAACAGCTCTGACCTCTACTCACCAGACGCCGGTATCACCCCTCCACCCAGCTTCGCAACCAAAATGATTCCAGACCTTGCTAAGACATTGCTAAATGTCCCCTAGGGGCAAAATTGTCCCCAGTTTAGAACAACGGCTCTAGAGTAAGGATATCTATGTATGTTTGAAACGATGGGGAAAGAGCCCATGAAGAAGAGGAGAAAAAAGATATTGAAAAGGGAGAATCTTAATGTGAGGATCTACAGTCAGGAAGTTCAACATGTTTCCCTATAAGTGACAAAAAGCAGAATTATAGGGACTGTTAATAAGTGCTTTCTTTATGAGTTGAGGAACAAATGTCATTCTAAATTAAGAAGGGGCATTCAAGCTTAAAATTAAAAGAAAAAATATATTTGTTGTAACAATTTAGAAACCAGCATGCAAACTGTCAAGGAAATGCAGTATTATTAAGAAAGGAAAACCATTAGCTATTTTTTATATATTCATGGAATTAAGACAAATAAGCCAATAGTTGAAGTTGGAGAGCAGATCATGTGACCTACAAGTTGTCCGTTAGTCTGGGAAGTCCTTAATTTGGGATTGAAGACAGATGTTTCTAATGTGACTCATGTATTTTTACCACTTTCTCATGGGCATGAACTGAGATTCTTCCTCTGTCTCCTGGAGATGTCAGCATCATGTTTACATAGAATGGGCCTGCCTAAGTCAAAGCTAGCCCTAAGTCACATGTCACATGGTAAAGATACATAATCGGGCTTCTCTTCACATAGACTATAGTTGTGACCTCGAGGGGAATAGACTTGATTTCTGAGTTGAGTATATAAAGTTTAGAAATTGGGGAATGTTCTAGAATAACAGCATTTCAAAGTTGGGAGGAATCATTATGATTACTTCACAAACATAAGTTCTCAGGTTGTTAAGTATGGCACATTAAAAATAAAAGATTATGTCTCATGTAAGAGGAGAACAAATGTGAACATGTTACTTGGCAATTAAGTTCTTTTCTTCCTAAATTAAAATCAAATGTTAATCCACATCCAAAAAGGCAACTGGCACTTATTGTGAACCTACTATATATGGGAAACTATTGGAGTTATTTTATACACATAATGTTTTTGAAGCTTAATGACAACTCGGTGAGCCAAGGTTTATTCCCATGCAAGGGAGGAAATCTAGCAATCACAAAGTCATACTGCAAAGCCCAACAATATAGAAACAGCTGTTTTATGTCCACAGTTTGTCTTTGGACATGCTCTCCCCAGTGATTTTTGCTAGTCCCTGATGACATCTCAGCTTCTTTTTAACAGTAAACACATAAGCTGAACTACTTTGGGCCTGAGAATCAGGTGGTCTATTTTGTTCACCCGGTCCCTATCCAGCATGGTGAATTCTACAGATCTGACTTCGACTGCTCACTTCATGCCTGGCAGAGCATCCTTCTCCCTCTCCTGGCAGACCTTTCTAGCAGCACACTACAACCATGATCCATTGAGAGTCAAACCCGATGTCACAGAGAAGCAGTTTTATTTGGGATTTGAAATAAGGACTTGAGTTTGCCCGTTGGCCTCCATGTAGATAGTCATGGTCTTTTAATCTGCTAAAGTTTTTGTAAGCAAGTTCATCGGGTGAAAGATCTGTTGGAATTTATTACATCCAAAAGAATAAAAAAACCTTTAGATCATCACTAATTTCTTTTTTTTTTTTTTTTGAGACAGAGTTTCACTCTTGTTACCCAGGCTGGAGTGCAATGGCGCCATCTCGGCTCACCGCAACCTCCGCCTCCTGGGTTCAGACAATTCTCCTGCCTCAGCCTCCTGAGTCGCTGGGATTACAGGCACGCGCCACCATGCCCAGCTAATGTTTTTGTAGTTTTAGTAGAGACGGGGTTTCACCATGTTGACCAGGATGGTCTCGATCTCTTGACCTCGTGATCCACCCGCCTCGGCCTCCCAAAGTGCTGGAATTACAGGCTTGAGCCACTGCGTCCGGCCTCACTAATTTCTTATAAGTGACTGATTTCCATTACAAGGACCCTTTCATTGGATCAGTAGGTCTGGTCTAATGTATACATTTTCTTAACTTTCATAGTAAGCATTACTATGTGCTATAGCTACATATTTGCATTTTTATCTATATCCGCTGCTCCAAATGTTTTCTTGCTTGCTTGTTTTTTCACTTGGCTCTTAGGAGCCCAAACAACCCACAATAACTTGCTTAGTATATTTAGCCCAGAAAAAAAGAATACCTGGGATAAGCTTCACTTCTCATAAAAAAGTAAAAAGTGACACACCAAATTGATTTTAAAAATATACATCTGTGGATGTAAGCGTCAGGACATTCAGTGTAAAAGCATCCCATGAGTCCCTAATCCAACATCGCGCTCAAGGGAGCAAGGGATCTGCCCCCAACGGGCTTGCAGATGAAGTAATTTCCAAGGCATAGTTGGGTGGGCCGGTGGAGAAAGATAGAAGAATGGCCGCCGTGGCTGTGAGGTGGTCAGTGAGAGAGACGAGTCCCTTCCCCCACTCCCATGGCCGTGTGTGCCACTCTTCCTCTATACAAAGACAATTTGCTTTTCATGTAGTAATGAAGAACAATGTTTAACAGACAAAGGAGCTTCTAGTTTATTATTGTGCTGTCTTTGACTAGAGCTAGATGCTGGGAAAAATGGTAATTCACAGTGTGAATGCTGCTTTTCCAGCCGTACGGGTTATGGCTGAGCATGTACATTGTATATTGCAGATGGTACAATAGTGAACACTGTGAGAACGAGGAAAGAATGAATTACAACCTTTTTTTTTTCTTGCTAGCCAAGAAACCAGGAATTTCTTCTCAGAGATTTTTATTTATATTGTGTGTGTGTGTGTGTGTGTGTGTGTGTCTGTGTCTGTGTGTGTCTGTGTGTGCCCGCATGCTTGCGCATGGGTCACTACTTAGCAATATGCGCTGCTGGATTCTGATAAATGATTTTAGGTTTCAGAATTTTAAAATTAATGTATAAAATCTACCACGATTCTCTTAGAACACCTGTGTTCTCTTGCTTTTTTCCCCTAGTAGACGGATACAAGGTACAGGTGGTGCCTAATTAACTTATTTCATGCAAATAAAAACATATTGCATGATTTCTTCTCCTTAACCATATAATCACTGAAACATGATGGTGCTGATTAAAGCAACAAACTTTGGGAGGGGAGAATTTAGCATCTTTTGTCAGTTCTCCTATGCTGAAGGGATTTATGATCCATGTAAACCTGATTTAAATGGAAAAGTGATGGGAATGTGTATTTCCTATGCGAGAAAACGGTTCCCCTCTATTCAGTCTTTTCTCTATGTAATAGGACACTCAGTGATATGGAACTGAAAAAGAAGACCAGATTTCCCATGGAGATGGAGAAATTGGAAGCCCAGATGAGGAACCATCTCATATAAGCAAGCTTATGTGTTTTGATTTAGTGTTCAGATATTCTTATCAATGATTTCCAGAAAGTGACATTGATTTGCTTTGGAAACAATGATGGAAAAACAGTGAATGTGTACTGGAATGCTTTTAGAGTTCTAAAATCATACTGGAAAACGTCTGAGCATTCCAACACAGCTATAAACAGTACCATGCTGTATTTATGGGGGGTGGCAAGTCTGTTTCTAAAAGTCTTTGCGATATTATTTCTATGTTTTTAATTTATTGAATTAAAGCCAGATTTATTCAATTAAGATAATACACTTCAAGGTTAACTGCCATTTGCTGTTCATTTAGGCAAGCTATTGTACAGTTATGTAAATTTCATGAACAGAGACACTACTTGAGTGTCTTAATTACAAGCAAAAAGTGTCATTTAAATATGAATTAAGTGAATAGTTGCCTGTATTTCCTGTTTCTGTGTTTTCTGTCTTCTTAAAATCGAGGGGCTACCCAGTGATCTATACTGTGTCGTTAGATTTTTCCATTTCCTATGAAAGAAAAACACCTCCACTATGAATATTATAAAAAGAAGTAGGGAAATGTGTAAAAATGCCATTATTATCACATTGATTAGTACTCAGAGCTATTTCTGAATAACAGGGTGCCGGGTTTTCCCAGTAGGCCACTGATAGTGATTCTCATATTGCTACTGAGATCTAAAAATTATTCCAGATTTTCTAGGGAAAATAATTTTTGCTACATGTGTCATTTGCTCTAATTCATTATATATGTGAGTTCATTTTTTTTTAAAATCCTCTCTTAAAACTACTAATTTATAACACATCCAAAACATTAGTTTTTCCTTACTGCAATGCTGGGCTGTGCATATTTTTATCATTCTTTTATCTTTGTCAAAAGAAACATTTATTTTCAATTGAGAGCCGTCACAACCGTAGTTGTGTTTAGCAAATGTGACCCGTGACCTGATGCTTTGCTGATTTCTGTGAAACAATTCCCCATGCATCTTGGACTTACTGACCAATACTGTTTTTGTTTATTTCTGTGTTTTGGATGATTCTTGTGTATATATAAAAATGACCTAGAGACAAATCTGGCATTAATCATGAAGAAAGGCAAGGATTCACAATTAGTTAATGAAAACCACACCTCTATTCTGTTGAGTCAGTTCCCAGCTCCTGTCTCCAGCCTGGGACATAGCTGCAGCCTGGGAAGATATTCCCAGTGCCCCCCAAGGTAGATCCTGCATCCTCCCCCAGGAGTGAGAAGTTCACTATTCACTCAGTGCTTGCATCATCTTTTCCAACATGTTCCCACTGATACATTAAAGGAATTAATTGCTCATAATGATCTCACCATCTGTTAACAGAGGTTCATACCTACAGGCTGGTGGCATGCGGTGGTTCTATTCAGGGATCAATAGGCAATGCTGGGCGAACGCTTTCCCACATTGCCTGCCTTTGCACGCTGAAAGGGGGAGGAGGGCTCGGTGCCGGCCATCTGCTCCTTGTCTTTCTGTGCGAGACCTTGATGCGGTCCAGCACAGCTCTGATCTGACTCCAGTCCGATTGGAATGTGGCTGATCTGAGAGCCTCTCAAAGCTGTGAAAGTGAGTCAAAAGGAGATGCCCATTGTCCGGCATGGCTGAAAGAAAATGATCACTTTAAAATTCATAACTCCCAGGTGCCTGCCATCTATTCATGGGAAAAACCCTCTGAACTTCTCTTCATTAAAGAGAGGGGAGTCTTGCTAAAAAGAGAGAAAAGGAAGTAGTTTGTGGGAATGTGCAGGGGATTTTCAAGCTAAACAAATGAGGAATTTGGAATTTTTCACTTGTATTAAAAGAACTGTGTTAGGAAGGAGAAGCCCTTATTTGCTTATTTTTTTTTTTTAAAGGAGAGAGGAAGCTTTCCCTGTGCACTATAGCAACTAATAAAGATTTTCTCCAGAGGAATTCAAAGATCACCCTGTCTTTTTACTTTTTTATTACCTGGAGCTGTGGAAACTTTCCCATTTGATTCAGAATAATGTTCTTAGTCAATTTTCACTTCTGTTCCACAAGGGTGCATTTTGGGTGGGAATTTGGGGAAGAATGAGGGTCTGGGAAATTCCTAAATATGATGTAGGACATCTGTGGGCACAGTGAAACTCAAGTCTATCGGCTGTTGCATAGGAGAAGTTTCTGTAGCACGGCTACCTGCACCCAGTGGAAGTATCTGTCAGGAAGAGACTTTTTTCTGTGTCTTGAAAAACAAAAGAGCCTTGAGGAAATAGCAAAGAAATAATAAGAGAATCTCTGTGCCTTGGCAGCTTAAGATTCAGAGCTGAATCTCAGAGCTGTGGGAATCACAGGCCTGGTGGATCTTGGCTATTGGTCATTGTAGACAATTGACGTTGCATCAGAGTCACACAGGAATTCAAAGAGGATTTATGGATTAATGGATTGAGAGCCAAACAAAAGTATAAGTAGAGAGACCTATGTTCTGTCTCTTGAAAATCTTTTAACGCACAGATGATGACACTTAAGGCCCAAAGAGGTTAAGTGACACATGCTCAGAGTCACCCAGAGTTCATTGCAGAACCTGGGTTATAACCTCCACTTACTGGCAATTTTATTTCTAACGCTTCATGCCGCCTCCCTTGATGGTGTGGGGTTTAATTTAAAATTATTTTTGCTCAGCTTTCCATCATTAAAACGTAGATCAGTATCACCAACCTAAAGATTTAATAGTTCCTTTTAAAATATATTCTGAGCTCTAAAGAAGATTATAAACACTACTATTCATTACTATCACATACAAAATAGAAAATTCATCAAGTAAGGCACTGGTATCTGACAGAAAATAGTGCAATAAATAACAGAATTTATTGGTGAAACAGGATGACAAAGTTTAGCTGTCTTAGACAACAATGAACAAATAGAAAAGAAAGATAAAAATTGGTTATGATCAATGTAAAGTCAGAACATCACTCATTTGATAATCACGGAACCAAAAGGAGTAGATGATGAGAAGGAGAAGAATCTAGAAATAATCCAGACTTCTGGAAATGAGAGACAATATGTCTGACAATCACTGTTACTGGTCCTTCTTAACAGATAAGTGGTTACCACCTGAACCTTATTTTTTTCTAGAAATTTCCATTCAGTCTGTTAAGAGTCTGTTTTGCATGGCTCTTCCTCTGTGAGAACCTATCTTGAATTTTCAGTGCAGTGGACAGGACTGTAAAATTCTTTGGACAGAATTGTGACATACTATATTTATAGTAGATTTAGGTAGAGAAAAAGAAATCAAGGTCAATTGTAGATGTGTTTCCTAATCCAATGTGATTTTTAAGTTATCAGATTGTTTGACTCATTGTAGTGTCAAACCCTATGGGTTATGTATTAATAGTTGGAATTGCTGAAATACAGGTTGGGGGAAAAAAAAAACCAGCAACTCTGAAGAGTACAAGTAGGCTGAGAATTGAGATGAAGATTGACAGCAGCCAGAAGGAAATGACTAATATATTCTCAAGTTATTTTGCTAGCTTCGCCTGGAGCTTGAGGATAAACCCAGGGATTTATTCCTGAAGATGTAAAAAATATAGGTAAGCCAAAAGAAGAAATGAATTACAAGCGACCCATAATCCCATCCCAGGGATAACTGCTGCTAACTTTTCAAAGTTAATGTTAAAAAACAACAAAATCGGCCGGGCGCTGTGGCTCACGCCTGTAATCCCAGCACTTTGGGAGGCCGAGGCGGGTGGATCACGAGGTCAAGAGATCGAGACCATCCTGGTCAACATGGTGAAACCCCGTCTCTACTAAAAATACAAAAAATTAGCTGGGCATGGTGGCGCGTGCTTGTAATCCCAGCTGCCCAGGAGGCTGAGGCAGGAGAATTGCCTGAACCCAGCAGACGGAGGTTGCGGTGAGCCGAGATCGCGCCATTGCACTCCAGCCTGGGTAACAAGAGCGAAACTCCGTCTCAAAACAAACAAACAAACAAACAAACAAACAAAAAAACAAAATCAGATCATAATATTTATATTGTCTTGTATAATATTTAAGTTAGGAAATTGCAAATATTTGAACATTTCGGACCTGTCAAACAATGACAATTTCCAAGAGGGTCCATTTAAAAGTACTCAGTGATAGATTGTGAATCTCTTTCCTTTTCAATAAATATACATCCAAATTTATTTTTTAGGGACTCATATATGGTTTAGGAACTATTTCAGTAAGTGTTGAAGGTTCTGGGCACCTCAGCTCTTCTCAAGATTGGATTTAGACCTATATATAGATTTCACAGTAGAATTAAAACAATTTGAACCAGCACAGTGGCTCACATCTATAATCCCAGCACTTTGGGAGGCCTAGGCGGGTGGATCACTTGAGGTCACAAGTTCGAGACCAGCCTGACCAACATGATGAAACCCCGTCTCTAGTGAAACTACAAAAATTGGATGGGCATGGTGGCAGGTGCCTGTAATCCCAGCTACTCAGGAGGCTGAGGCAGGAGAATTGCTGGAAGCTGGGAAGTGGAGGTTGCAGTCAGTAGAGATTGTGCCACTGCACTGCAGCCTGGGTTAGAGAGTAAGCCTTTGTCTCAAAAATAAATAAATAAATAAATAAAAACAATTTATGCTCTGGGAATAGAGCTTATTAGACAATAACTTAAAAATGTCCTTTTTTCTCTTGCAATGAAATGATAGCCTCTTCCTACTGATCAGTACTCCCTCCTCATAGTCAAAAGCTAAGACTATATTCTCAATGATTAGACAAGCAGGAATATAGTTAATGAGAATGTATCTTAAGAATGAGACATACAAAAGTACCTAGCTCACACAATGACAGTAATACAAGCAGTACATTTAAAAACGACAACAAAACCCTAAACCAACAAACCAGGAAACAAAACAGTAACCAATGAAGCACAGTACAGAATTCAAAGGCAGTTTGTCTCTGGGTGAAGAATGCAGTTGATGGGAATACAGGGAAGAGCCTGATAACTGGCTGTGTTATGACTTGTGGGTCTCAAAGTTTTTACTTCAAGACTCACACCCTTAGGGTGTTCTGACTCCCAGAGCAATATGTAATCGTGAATGTGTTTATATCAAATGTCATCTGACGCATAATCCTGTCCATGTTTCTCAGGGTTCCCCCGGCTCCGCACTACTGTTATTGGGGCCAGGGTTGCCCATCTTTTCTATTGATGAATGCATGTTTTTTCCTTTCAAGAATTCTATAGGGAAATTGCCTCGTCTTTTAATTAATTCAGTTTTTGAAAGTACAATTTTCTTTTAAACTTTTCATTGCCATTGTAATCACTTTACATTTGCACAATCATCTGACTCAATCTTGTTCCCAGTTCTTGTGTTCAAAATTAATAAATAGGAAAGATTTTAAAAGCACACGGCAAAAGCAAACACATTTTAATACAACCCCCATCCTTCAATTCCCACAAACACAGGGCTTGTAGGGTTAGCTGATCTCTGGTTTTATTATTTTCCCTCTCCTTTCTTTCTTTTTTAAAAAACTGTGCATGGAAAGCAAAAGTTTATTGGGGGCAAGGGTTCAATGACTATTTTTTCCCTTGAACAAATTAATCTTGTATAACCTGCATGATAAAGGCTATTTTTAAAAAGAGGAGGAAATAATCATTGGGGCCTTATTTGGAACTCTTGTGGGTTTGAGCTCACATTTGCACCAGCCAGAGATTTTCAATTAGCAGTGCCTTAGAAAACAGGGACCCCTGCCTTTGTCAGTGTCCTATGGAAGAAGAAGAGCAAATAGATTGGAAATGGTCTTATGGCTCAAGCTCCTGGGAAAATGTAACAGGTGTTACAGCTCAGCTGGGTGTGAGATTTATGAAAAAAGCCCACTCAGACTTTGCCCATAGAATTCTGCTTTCTAGCCAGGGCTTCAAGTAGGAAGAAACTAATGACTTCATTACCATCTCAATTCTGGGAAATGCCGGGTCCAGACCTGACTCATTAAAGGAAAGGTATAGCACTCTGGGTGACCTTACAAGATCAAAATGTTATTTAGAGCAATTCCATTAGTCAGGGCCATAAACCTGAAAGAACACACCCTTTAGGAATAACACTTTGGCCATTAAATGAGAAAACAAAAACAAAAACAAAAAAAGCTCATACAAAAAAGGAGGGGGAAAGAAGAAAAAAAATCCATATTCTGTAATCATCGTGCTTCACTATTTCCTGCACTCTTTGAAAAGCCTCCACTTCCAGCACTTCTTCCCCTCACTCTGTGTTGTGACACATTAAATGGCTCTTGTCGCTGTCCCATTTCCAATGGATTATAATTGGGGGGGGGTGAGGTGAAAGCCGGGAATGCTGTCAAATTTCCAAGCAGCAGAAGATGAAATAAATCTCTTCTGTACTAATAGTACCTAGTAGTGCTAACAGTAGTAGTACTTAACTGGGATCAATTAACAGTACATTTTTTATTAGATAATTTCTTTTTGAATTAATCTGCAATGGGAAGACAGCACATGAGTCTGTGTCCTGTCCTATTTGTCCTTACAAACAATCCTTGGGAGCCATTGTATTGCGTTTTATTTCACATTGCTACTCCGCTGAAAGAACTTGGCCAGTCAAATACAGCTTCAGTAAACGCACAGTCTATTTATCTCCAAATGCCAGGCCCCTAGTGGGGGGTCCTCCACCCCCATATGACTCATGTTTATTGCGCTCCCACATGCTCTGCTTTCCAGAACACCTTTGAGAAAAAAAAAAAAAAAGAAGTCAAAAGATAGATTGTTCATAAGACTGAAGCTTAACGCCTTGTGAACTTGCTTTGGAAAAGCTGGCTATCCTCTGCTGCACCCCCATTCCTGAGAAAATGAACTTGACATTGAAGTCTTTAGTCATTATTCCTAGTAAAGTGTGTGATGATGCCTTTACAGTAGGTCTGAGACTTCCTGTGTCCTGGGGGACATGCTGCCTCTTGAACTAGAGCTAGTCAAGAAGAAAGCGTTAGGCAAGGTTGGCCTGATGCTATAGGAGTTAAAGCCGCATGGGGTGACAGGTGTTTGAGAAGAGTAAATTGGATACCAAAAGCTGCCGAGTATGGCAAAATTATTATTAAGGACCCTATTAAGGATTTGTAACCCTTGGTCATTACGTGTCAAATTAATGCCTGCCCGTTATCACGAGTATTAATTGAGGTCATAATATAATTTTTGACTTATTGTAGGAACCATGAAGTGGCCTATTTAGTGGTCAAAACAAATTGGTTATGATATTTGGGACATTATTTCAGGATGAGAGCTTGCTTTAGGGTACAGATTAGAGAGTCCCTTAAAGAAATGTGTGTTTTACAGTGACCATATTGCTACAGAACTATGTCAAAGGAAATCTTGCAGAGATTTATTGGTACACATAACATTTCTCTCCCTCCCTTTTATTTTACTTCTACTCATTTCTCTCTTTTTCAATGTAAATACATATGAATGAAAAGGTATAAAAAGCTTTCGTGATGATAAGCATTTTTTCATATGTTTGTTGACCTCATGTATGTCTTCTTCTGTAAAGTATCTGTTCATATCCTTTGCCCACTTTTGAATGGGCTTGTTTGTTTTTTTTCTTGTAAATCTGTTTTAGTTCTTTGTAAATTCTGGATATCAGCCCTTGCCCATCGATGCTAGACTGGACAGGGAAAATGTGGCACATATACATCATGGAATATTATGCAGCCATCAAAAACGATGAGTTTGTGTCCTTTGTAGGGACATGGATGAACCTGGAAACCATCACTCTCAGCAAACTGACAGAAGAGCAGAAGATCAAACACCACATGTTCTCGCTCATAGGCGGGTGTTGAACAAAGAGAACACATGGACGCAGGTAGGGGAGCACTACACGCTGGGGTCTGCCGGGGGTAATAGGGGAGGGTCAGTGGGGGGTGGGGAGTTGGGGA